TTGTTTTTACAGTCATGTGCTACTTTTTAAAATTGAAAGATTATCATTTAAAATTGTTATTAAATCTCTTGTGTTTTTAAATCCAGTTTAAGCTTATTGTATTCATCAGTTTAAGAAATTCATTATCATAGTTAAAGGTTCAAATATTTGTAGTTTACTGCTTGTTCCGTTTCTTTTGCGTTCCGGTATAAATTGATATTCTTCTTCGAAGAAAAAAGTAAAAAGGGCCTAAATTATCTGATTAATAATTCAAAGCATTACACGTCACACTTTCTTTTCAGGAAGGAGGACTGTCCAATAATAAAAGGTGAACTTCTTTTTTTCTGTATTTATTTTTTGGAATAAAAAGTATCATCAGAATATATTTACATCCACTGAATATTTCCTCCTATATTTGTTAAGAAAACCCATTGCGTTAATCAGTGCATGAACTACACTAGGCATGTCACCTGTACAGATTTCTTGATCAGTGGCTGTTCCATCAATGAAACGTAAAAAGATTAACCCACTATTTTTTCTGCAACAGCTGCGACATTCATCCCCGTACTAACAACCATAGAAAGCATTTTGTTGACCACAGAGACTGAATCTTTTTGGGCATTTGTGATTCGGAGACCTACTAACAGTACTGCAGTTATCTGGCTGTAGTAAATGTGTATCCTGTGACCATCTACACGAACACCGCGTGGAAAAAACTCCTGATTTTGTTTTTTGTTTTTCCCAGAGTATTGTCCTTTTTGAAAATTTTCACTCTTATCATGCTTTTCATTATTACTTTGTGATCGAACCTGCCAATGTTCTGCCGGAAGTGGATTAATTCAGTGAGAATGAAATTTGTCGAAGAATCGAAGCTGTTTCGTTCAAGTTACTTTTTTGTATTACAACCCCCCCCCCCTCCTTCACTTTTAAAAGGTCTTGTCGGATGTTTAAAGATTAATGAAGAAATTGTATTACTGAAACTTTAATGCTGTTTGTGATTTTTATTTTTGTGCAAGCTAGGGTACGACCATTCTACTATTCTAAGGAGAAAAAAATATCAAGGCATGAAAATAGAACATCGAAATTTAAACGCTAATTCGCTTGGGGTGGGGGTGGGGGGTAACACTGGTCAGGGACAGATTATTTATTATCTTGTCCGTCGAGGACAGATTTACTTATATTCAACATTAAGACTTTCGTTGAAAAATTATTTATTGATTATTCGACCCCCCTTCCTCAGAAAAAATGTGTTTTTTTTAATTTAAGAGTTTCAAAATATATAGATTATTTTTCACATTTTTTAAAATTATATTTTTATAATATAGATCTACGTATATTACGATGTAAGGCCGGAACAATTTTCTGGGAAAGGGGGTGGACATTTTGTGAAATAAAACGAGAGGTTGGGCATAGAATATTAATTTACACCATCGTTTAAAACATAAAATACTCAGTATTTAAAATGTTAATTTAATCTTTTTATTTACAAACAGCTGTAGAATATCTTGCCTATGTATGTTCTGGCATAGCTAATGTCATTTTTATGTCAATCTGTACAGTTTTCCCCGAGTGATACGTCACAATAGATCGAAAACTTGAGATGTGCACACTAAAACTGCATCTCTTAGCTGAGGTGAAACAAGTGCGCGGATCCTGGATCTTGCAATTTTTAAAGCCTGTTTTTTGTACTAAACACTTTTCACTTTCATTTCCTCTTGTGATATTTGGTTGTCCAAGTAAAGGAAAACGTTCAGCTAAAAAAATAATGTTTAAATGATGTACCTTAGTGACAGAATACCTTATATTACGTACAATGCCTATACGCCATTTTGATACAGAGAGAAAGTTCGGGAAAACAGTGTACCTGTGACGTCGTACTTCGAAAAATGACGTCGAACAGGAGTTGTTTGCAGTGCATTGGCAGTGTTGACATCGCCGCGTTTCACTGGCTATTTGTTGGATTTAATCGTTCTTACGACTATATGTTTTCAGTTATCGTGATGAATATGCATTGGTATGTATTTTCGTTCTCTTGCTCCGTGATTTATTTTCTTCGGGAGGTCGGCATGTGCACATGGTGTAGGGACCCGGGTCTAGTCTTCATTCATGGATACTTGGAATGAAATACTTAGGATTTAAGCGCATCGTGACAGTAAATAACACTTCTACAGTGTTAATTACCGTTTATTACGTACATCGCGTGGACTGATTAACAATACAGACCGAATACACATTGAATATGGATTTACTACAGGATTTTTAACTAACGCAACTGGCGCATGCCCAAAGGGGTTAGTCGACACCCGGCGGCGACTAACCCCTTTGGGCATGCGCCAACTAACCCAGTAAAAAATTCATCTAACCCCTGCCAGTACATGCAAACTTGTTTACACCAATAAATAAACAAACACAACAATAAATAAACAAACAAATAAACAGATAAGAAGAAATAATTAACAGAAAATAGAATAACTTATTTAATGAGTTTATAAACAAAATCTTTACCCAAATACTCACAAAATATGCAGAGATCTAAGGCAACATTTTTTTCTACTGAGCTACAAATACATGTAAGGAGACTTAGTAGCTTATTTTTTTTAATTCTTTAAATTCCGAATGAAATAATTATTCCGAGCTGAAATAATACCCTGTTGATTATGGAGATCTGCAAAACCATAGAAAACATGATGTGTACACACATATACACCTGAAGAACACACAGGGCTGGCTATTTATTCCTGGTGACTTATCAACGGGTCAAACATAATTACCAGTACACGTTAATACAAAGTGCAGTCTTATCTATTCCCCAATACAGACTGTTGACACAAACGACAGGTGCAACATCTTTAATCATGTTAACATAATTGCATTTCCTCCAAAAAAAAATCTATAATAGTTATACAAAGACTGTTTAGTAAATAATTATGTGTCCAAGATTTTACATGTTTACATTTCATAGAAAATTAAAGCAAGGTGAAATTCTTCAAAGATACAAGTGTGTTAAAGAGAGAAGAGAGAAAGAGATACCTTTAGGAGATAGAAGCGAGTTTTGATGGTATACCCGTACATTTTACATCAAGACCGAGACAGTGTGTCCTACATTTTGAAAAACAGGCAGGTCTGCGACGGTTGGAATCACATGATGTGCTCCGAATTACAATTAATTCTGCAACTGAAGGACGTCTTGTAACTACCACTACCTAGGCCCTGAACTGAACCTTCAAGGTGCCACATATACTGACTCACACAAAGAAATGATTGACATCTTGCACACTAGCTGTCTTGTCAGCAGTGAAAACAAAACATTCTTCAAATAAATTTTGTGGTGTGCTTATTAAAATATGGATCAGAATTCTTAATGAAGTGGATGTATTTGACTATTTGTACAGTTAAAAATAACATTTCTGGAATTTTGTTCAAAAAATAACTTTTTAAATAATATATAGATTGATCTTGTATATAATTATAGGTAACTCTTACTTCTTCAAAACAAAAATCTGCCATTACAATCATGTTTGTTTAAAGTTTTATCTAACTAGACAATTTAAGGAATTCAAATACATCATTACCATGTTGAATAATACTAATTTTTTTTTCTATTTGCAAAGATGTTGACTCAATTATGGTAAACCTCAGATGTTTCAAGATTCTGTGCTCTGGTATATTGGTTTTTATCCCAGTCTGTCCTTCTGTTTGTCAAAACTTCTTGTCCTCACTTCTCTAATAATTACTAGTTTTAAATGTTAGGGGAGGAGAGGATCATTTAGCATGTGTTGCTGGACTAGTCATGTAGATATGCAATACATGTATTTTTAATTAAGTCCTGTGTTCCCAAGTTTGGCCCAGAATTGAATTTGTCATTAAACCCCCACCCCCCTCCCTTACAATACCAGTGCTAGCAAATGATTTGGCATGCAATATATATGTGCAGTAAAATTTTGTTCTCTGCCTTTGGGCTTTCTAGGTGCTCTGAAAGTTTTTCAAATTACTTTTATTTTCTTATTGAGTGCTGCAAGGAATGGTTTCTAGACTAGTTCACTCAAAGTGACCACCGGCCCATAATTGACAGCAAATCCTGCCTGCATTGCTTACATCTGCACAGGTTGTATCTTGAACAGCATACTATCAGTATGTGTGTAGATATATATTTGGAGAATACATGTACTTCTATTTTTTTAGTTAATGGGTATTCTACAGTTTTACTGTTAATGCAAATAAGAAAGTATGTGATTAAAAAAGTTTGATGTTGCACTGGGAACCAATATTTATTAACTGAATGATCATGTTTAAGCTTTTAGAACAAGTCAGTTTACAAAAGTGAATATGTATTACAATGACCAATCTAAAATAAAAGGGATTGGTAATTATAAATCCTTTCTTTGATCATACTTTCACAGATTTTGCATCTGGAAAATTAGATGCTGTATATGACCTATACTTTCTAGGTAAGTGAGCAAACTAAGATTCTGAAAGGTTTTCATTTCTAAGAATTGCAGCTGAACAATAAGAAAACTTGCAAAGATGTTAGTTTGATTTTAATATTTACGAGAAAAAAAATGCAAATCCTGTATGTGACCTAAATCTGCATAAGAAGTGTTAAAATGAAGCTTTTTGGGCACTCTCATCATAAGCTTGTAAGTGCTTATTATTCAAGCAATGACAAGTCAAACATAGTCCAACTATCTTAGAATCTTCCTTTAAGACAAGTGGGTATGAAAGATTGAAAAAGTTTTATAAACATACCACAGTAGAGTGCAGACTTTATAACTGTCATTTGTGATAGTACATTGTAGCTTACATTTGCTTTATAGTTTATATACAATAAATACTTTTGGAAAAAAATGTCATTTAATATTTATGCTCTGAACAATTTTGGTCATAAATCAGATATTGGAAAGACAGTAAAACATCCTTTTTTTTCATTTGTTAATATGCAAAAATAGGAATCCTTAACCATGCAACAGAACAAGCTAATACAATAAAGTGAGGAAAACTAAGTACAAAACTGTGATTTTTACCTTTGGCATTCCAATTCCACAATTCTTATAATAGAAAGAATCTTCAGTTCAGAAGCATTTGGTGTTTTTTTTAAAATTTAGCACAAAAAAACAACATATATACCAAATTTGACTTTTCATGTTCACGTTTTATAAATTTGAATTCATTTAGATGAAACTGCCAATTCATTTCTTCATTAACGAATTCCACCTTTAAGTAAAACTGAAATTAAACTAGAGGCTAGGAAGCCCCCGTCCCCCACCCCCACCCCCTTTTGACTTGGAGAAATTCATTGGTCCCAACAGCAAGGCTAGTAAAAATTTGTCTGGACTGATAATGTTATAAACTTAACATAAACTTAAAAGATTTGTTTACATTTTTTCCTGACAGTCAAACTTGTCAAAATGACCTTGGGTCAACTTTAAAGTTTCAACATCTAATTCTTATCCATTATAGAGTAATGCACAAAAATTTCATAGCTCGTCTGCCATTTGACATTCATTTTACCAAAATCATATGGATCAAGGTCAAGTCACATATTAAAGACACAAGTAATATTTGTGTGAAGTGTAACTTGCAATATTTTCAATGCGAAAACACCAGGTCTGGGGGCCATAAAACTCACTATCAATCTCTCAGTCTCACTTTTGCCAAAGGAATTAATAAAAGAAAAGTGAGAATGGGATTACAAGTGAGATTGTTTAAGTTTTATGGCCATGGGGCCAGGTACCAATTTGATTTGTTTTCTGTCAATGACCTTGAACTTGCCAAAATGACCTTGGAATGGATCCTTACACACCCTGAGTCAAAAGCAACACTGTTTCAAATAAATACTTTTAATTAGCCTCCATTTGAGGGTAATGGAGCAGACATTCTGCCAGGGACCTTGGAACTTTTTTGAATTTATGCAAAATTTGTGATGATCCTTTCTACATTAAAAGAAACAGTCAGGACTGGTAACTCTTTTTTTTTTTAAAGTGACCTTGAACTTGATCATATTATTTTGGGAAGTCTATTAATTTCCCCACTGTGGTTGATATTGGCAACCAATTATTTTAGCTTAATTTTGATTGTCTTTCTAGATTTACAAAATTATTTATAGTTGTCAGAGAAACTAGACATTCCTGATTTTGATGGTTTTCCCAATACCATTCAACTAAAATTTTCCACACCAGCCTTGTCATAAATGTTTCTGTATTTTAACATTTTTTTTTAAAGTCTTTACCAATGAATAGAAAAAGAATAACTTGTGTATATTGGAATTTTTTAAAATTTAAGAGGGTCAATTTTCATGGATTGCTTATATTTCACAGGTTCCTTGAGGCCTAATTTTGTGTATTCTCTTATACCCTCAAAAGGAAATATGAGTGATATATGACTTTGTAACCCTTTTATCAGTTTGTTGAGGATGTAAATTCTTAGATGAGAGGTACTCACGTTATCAACAAAAGTTGAGCCACCACAAAATCTAGTGAATCCACAGTATCATTTAAACTTTAAAACAAAATTCTTGAATGTCTTCATGTGTTGAGCAGAGTTATTTATGGACTAATGACAAAACAAATAAATCCATTTCACATCCATTACTTTCAAAAAAGCATTTCATTCCAAAACAGCATGCAAATAAAAAAAAATCCCTGCTTAAACTAATCAAGACAATTTTCCTATTTAAACATGCATTTCTTTCCCTATGTAGAACTTAATCTTGTTTCATTCAGATAAATTCAGAGGGAAGTCATATCAATAAGATTTTAACCAGATTCTTTCCTCTCAATGTGCTATTCATTCATTGTTATAAATATCATATTTGTATCTTCAATCCACCATTCCTATTTAAATTTACATACAAGTAGAGGAAAGATAGCTTTGTGTAAACACAGTTAAGGAAATACTTGTGTACTATTACACAGTAAAAACCAGGCAAACATCCTCCAAAAGATATGATTATTTGTGGAACTCCAATGAATTCTACAAAGCAGTTACAAAATAGTAATCTCGAGTTTCCTACAGTTTCCTGAAGTTTATGTGAGGCTTATTAGGGAAGTAGCTTACTAGTGTCTAATCTTACTTGTGACTAAAATATCTTCCTCACACGTTGGTAATCACAACACATATGGGACAAATGTTACAAAAATGTCCAACTGGATTTCATTTCCTTAAACATTTGATAATCTTTATAATTCTTTTTCTATGCCAATTGCAGTTTCACAATAAGAGAAACCTAATGGGTTCAAAATATTGCTATATTTTTCTATGTATCAATTTAATTTAAAAGTATTATAGTACATCAAATCTAAAAACCATAAATGTCAAACAGTAAAATGATAATACAGACTGGTCTTCTAATTGAAAGAGCACTGACAAACAGCCACAGCTACCAAAGTCTTAATATAATTAAATTAGTAGTAATGTGTTGTATTATTCTATAGTTATGTATGCTCATATGGCTGGTACGTCTTGTCAATGTTTTCCTCAAATGAACCTTTATGTATGCAAGAAAAACTAAACTATGTTATTCCTCTCCATCAATCTGTTCTACACAGATAAATGTACATCCATTTTTGTCTACTTACAAGTTTTAATTTGACATGGAATAGTTCTTGGTGGGGTTTCTTGGTGAAGTACCAGAAGCGTTCATTGTGTGGGAATATCTTGGCCTTTGTTTCTATGCCAAACCGCACAGGTTCCTGAATGCCACAAATCACCAGATCCACTGCTACGGTCAGAAACACACGTGTATCTGAAAGAAATTTACACAAATAAAAATGCTTATTGACCTTTAAATACTGGTAGAACACTCCCTATCATAGAAGAAAAAAAATTCAGTTTTTCAATATATTTTCAATTAATAGTTTCCATTTTGCAATTTGAATGTCTTGCTAGAAATTATTACGGCTCACCTTTAGGAGTTTCTGAGTTGAGGACTTTGAAACAGTCTTCAGAAATGTCCCAGTTTCCAGAGATTGTGTAAGTCCTTCCATCACTTGAGTATCCCATAGAATTCTTCAAATAATTATATGTAAATTTCCATATATTCCATATATTTGAAATAGGGACCAAAAAAAATTTGCATGCCTCCCTAACATTAAATTAGATGTACACTTATAAAATTCTGCTGATTCTGAAATGTCTGTGTGAAAAAATAATTTTCTTTCTTTTATTTTTGTGTGTGTGTGTGTGTGTGTGTCTGTGGGGGGATTAATTATAGATTTTAGGATAATGAATAAGAAAGTTTTACACTAAAGAGTTTTTTAAATTTGTCCCTGATAGTATCACCAGGAAATACATGCAGTTAAATGTTAGGATTGCTGGGGAGTTTTAAAAATGTACATGCTACATCAAAATATAAAATACTTTTTTATGTTCCTATTTCACACACACATTTTAAGCACACTTCTGAACAGTGTGAACACTCATTTCATAATATAACTAAGAAATAAATTGTACCAACCATTTCTATGAGGTGCATGTCTCCATCTTTAACATTACGACCAGGTGACAAAAGTAAACCAAAACACCTGTAAACATAAATAAAGAATAGAAATGATGATGCAACAAATACAAAGATGATTATTGCTCTTAAATGAAAATAAAAATCATAACAAACTCTGAATACATGTACTACTTTGAATGGACATTTGGTCGATTACCTTTCTATTCTAAGTTCCTTGTTTCCCGTTTGAGTCACAGAAATCACAATTTTCTTGTCATAGTCACAACGGAATTTAAAAATGTTTTTGTCTTTGGGACATGTGCTGTAACTTCCCTTCCCATCATCCTCCTTAAACTCCAGGTTCACACTGAATATTGCTGTTACCTCTGCTTCACTTATGCTTGACGCAGTTCGCACTGCTGCCTTGGGTAAGCGTCGGAAACTGGTAGCAAACGAATACAATATTTTGGCAACCTGTAAATGGTGATACATGTACCAGGTATTTTCAAAACTATTGTTTTCCTGACTTTATAAAATAATACAACCATCCAATTTCATGGGGTTTTATTACTTCAGGTTTTTTTATTACATCAATCATATTTATTATACATTTGAAGTTCTTTGAATTTTCACTTTTTGATGACACAGAGAATTTCAATTTTTTCCCCACAAAAAACCTACCGCTTCCTGTATCTCGCATCTGAAAACATGGCACTGGAATATAGCCGAATCAGGGCTGTCACCATGACTACACGTAAACGCAAAGCACATTTTCTCGTCACTGTCAGAGGGTCCCCTAGCACAGAACAAAATACGGTGGATCTTATAACAGGCTATGTCGGAGTCTGTGCCTGGGTCTACCAACCTACAAAATAAGAAAGTTAAAAAGTTTAATTACATATACAAGCAGCATCTAGCATCTGTTCTCATTTTAAGTTATTTTAGAAGTATATATTTTTCTTTTGATCCTATGAAAACAAAAAGGCTAATTCACACTTCTCTGAAACAGAAATAAGAAAAGATGATAGTCTGAAGCCCTTGCAAATGAATTTGACAGGGAATACTACAAAGATTTTTAAATCCTTTTTTCATGCTTGTATAAAACAACCACACTTATTCAAAGAAAAATTTGACTAAATTTTATTTTTTACTGATGGAATAATAGGCTGGTTTGCTTAAACAAATTTGAAATTGAATAGACATGTCTGGTTAATTTTACCTCAATTTTCTACAGGTAACTAAAAAAAAAAAAAAATTAAAATACAAATGCGAAAACAAACCCAAACCTCATTTCAACCAAATAAACATGGTGCATTTAAAGCTGCATGATAAATCTTTAATTACACACATAAGTAGTTAAATTCAGAAAAATTATATTTGGCATTTTTTCTGATCTGCAGTATGGGGTGCACTTGTGAGGTGATGAAACACAGAAGAGAAGAGCAGACAAAACACAACAAATCAATAATATACTACAGAAAAACAGCAAAGTACCAAATAGATTATCGTAACAAAATGGCTGCATACCTAACAACTCCATCTGCTCTGCACAAACAAATAAAAGAAAATCATTAAACATATTTCAAGACAGAAACACTGAAAACAAAATGATATAAGACAATGCACACTTTATTGTGTTAACTGACTCAAAAAAATTTGTAATGATTTAGATCTACAATCATGCAAATTACAGTAAAACATATGTACTGTAAATCCACTTATAGGTAAATGTCTCAATCAATTTTGATTCGTAATGAACATAATTTGTTATATTCATTAAGTTTTTTAATGTTTGAAAATTATAGGGAACGAAAATTACTTTGTCATAAGTGAATTCATGACAAATTCATCATGAGTGAGTTTGCTAAGACAATGATTTATTGTAGACAGTCAGATGGATGAATTACTTTGAGATCTCCAAATTTTAGAAAATACTAAAGCGTAGTCTGATATTGTATATAGTAAAACTCGGTTATAGCGAAGTCCTTGTGACCTGTGAATTTAATTCGCTATATCCGTAATTCGTTATATCCATATAACAAATTCGTTTAACCATATATAGCGAATTGACATTTATGCATGTTTTCCTTCAAGTATTACTACCAAATATTACAAAAAAGCAAATATTACAAAACACGCCTTCAATAACTAAGGTTTTATTATGAATTGAATATTATATACAAATGCTAAAAGAAAATAAAGTCAATTCAATTCATCAAATTTTGGTATCTTTGAAAGTTCGTTATAAAAGATGTAAATTTCATTATATTTTATCTCAACGGGACTCTAAATCAGTTCGCTATATCCGTTAATTCATTATATCAGTGTTCGTTATAACCGTAAAATTTTACAAAGATTTGTTAAGAAATTTGCCGGGGACCCAGAAAAACTTTGCTATATCCATGAATTCGCTATATCCGTGTTCGTACCAAACGAGTTTTACTGTACTGATAAACAGTGAAAATCACTTTCAATGAAATAATTTCTGAGATATATTGTTGCAAAAATAATAAACAAAAATGATAAAGAAAATAAAAATATAGTGATATACCCAGGATAACCCCCCCCCCCCCCAATCAGAATCATTTTTGAAACAGAGGTCATTCAATTAAAATCAATACCACAGTAACAAACAAAATGCAAGAGAAAAAACAAACAAACAAATTCTATGTATCTTAGAACCAAGATATTGAAATCAGACCAAAACTGAAAGGATTAGCGTTTTTAAGGAAATGCATATAAAAAAAAACCGATGAAAATATGTGTGCACAAAACAGATAAAATTGTACCCACAACCTCTCCTAAACTATCGCCCTTCTGGTCTCTGATATAATAATCTTTTTTAAAATTGAAGTCATTTTAATCATAACAAAATTAACTGTTGCAACACTATTGTTCAGAAAAAAAACATGCAAAAAGGAAATGGAAGTGAATGTAACATAAAAGGAAGTGTACCTAACATTAAAGGAAGTGAACATAAATATATATGAAGTTTCAACATACAGACTTAAAGGAAAAAATATCTGTGGATAAAAAATGTTGAAGAAATCATAACAATTTTATGAGAGTGGCTTCCCCAAGTGAACCAAAAATACTTTTTCTCTGAATTAAATCGGTCATTACACTGAATTGTAGCCAACAACCTAAAAAATATAATAATCTTTTTTATTGAAGTATACTGGTTACTGATGCCAAATCAAAAGACACTGACAAATAAACAGTAATCTCAATGCTCTTCTATTACTGTTACTAGCATGCATGACAATGAGGCAAAATTAGATTCAAAGGAAATAAAATTGATTAAAAGAGAGAAAGATCTGTTAAACATTCATAATAGACAGAAAGCATTCTGTTCATAAAATAAAAAAACACAGAAGTGAAAGAACTCAAAAATTTACAAGGTTTTAATACATGGATAATACTTTATTTTATAAAATAAACCCACATGCTTACCTTACATTTCCTTCTGAGGTCCTAGGGATATAGAGTTCTATTGGAATGGCCTGTTTGGACTGTTCATTAAGTATTGACATGTTACGATAAATCTCCACCTCACTCCGCGGAGCATTCACTAAAGCACATCCAAGATAGGTAACTCCATTAAAAGTTGTATAACCTTCGTCCATGTTCCCAGGCAAAGACATTGATCTCCCTTTACCTATAAATAATCACCTTAAGATCCTTACATGTACAAAGTTCTTCTAAAAAAAATCAGATACAATTCATAGTTTTAATCAACCTTCCTTTAGATGCAAGTTTCATAAAATTGAAGAAAACATGAAGTTTGAATCTTCAAAAAACAACTTTACAACTTTTTTTTCTAAGTATGCTCATTTTACAAAATTGCAGAGAAAAGTAGTCACAAAAGAAAACTGGTTTACATTAAGCACCTTTTCATCACTAGAAAATCAACTATCAATTCCAACTTTACATCAAAAGAAAAATGTTATGTTTCTTTTCATGATAATTACAGCTGATAGCTGATTCAAATTCCTGTCTACCATCTTAACATGCATGCTAAAAAGTAATCATACAGAGGTAATTCTTTAACTACCATCATATGTCCTTAGTTCCTTAAAAAAAATGTAATTCTTCCTTAACAGTATGATATTTCCTGTTTATGGTGCCTTAGCATGCAATGACCTTCAAATGTTACCAACAGTGCTAATCTAAAAATAAGCTGGGATTACCTCCTCCTGGTATTGTTTCATCACTGATGCCACTGGTGGACTGACTGGTGGGGAATACATTGCCTACAGAACTGATGGGGGACTGGGGGTCAGTCCCAGCCGAGCTGGAGGGGGTCAACGTCGAAGTCATCTTTCTAGAGGACTGAGATACCTCATCATTCAGATCATTAATGTCACCTGAAACAGTGATTTAAGCGTGATTGGAAAATATTTCCATACTTAAGTACAAGGATCCATGGAAAGTAGACATGTGAAGGATTTGTTGGTTCTTGATCTGGAGGGGTAATCATGTACACTACAAATGAATTTTTGTCTCTCCATTACAAAGGTATAAATTGGTCATGAAGTTGAATGGGAAATCCTGAATTGACATTTTTTTTCCTCAGTTGTCCATGGGCAAGGGAATTTTAATACTGGTATTTACTGGGAAATGCCCAAATTGAATAATATTCAAATTACTCAGCTGCAATTACTGGAGGTGGTGGTCGGGTGGGAAAAATGAGAAAAGTGTGTTACAGTACTGATGATCGACTTTACTCTGTGATTACATATTCTTTTGTATCAAACACCATTAAATTATATGGGTGGGGTAAGGGAAATGGACTAATTTGAATTTGCTGGTTTAAGAGATGTAAAATATTAAAGTTTGAAAGTGTTTTTTTTTTTTTAAAAACAGCAGACCTGTTATTTTCAATTTGGGTTCTCCATTTACTACCACATAATCATCATTGGTTGAAGAAGATTCAACAGAACTGCGACTGACAGCATCCTCCATTATTTCTAATTACGTCCACATAATTATGATTTACCTAAAAAAAAAAGTGACAACTGTATTTATTTTACAACTATACATGATAATATCCATATACTTTTAACTCACTTGTTTGTACATTTGTTTACAGAGTCGAGTACCCTATCAAGTAAAATTAGTAACCCTGTAAGGCACAGATCTCATACTCTAGCACCAAATAACTACAATGTATGTTACAAAAATTTTTACCCAACAGAAAAGTAAGATGGGTAAACACAGCATGCAAAATGGCAGTAGATTCAAATGTATAGAATTAAAATTCAATTCAAGATGTAAAGTGACATAGGTGATGAAAAATCAAGTATCAACCAGGACTTGAACCCAGGGCCTCTGGCTTACTGTACCTATTAAGATTTAACCAGTGAGCTAATGATACTAAGACTCTGTGCCAATTAAATATATTGAATGACTTTCACACATATTTTAACTCATGCAAAATTCAAACTTTTTTTTAGAGGTATTCATGACGAAAGTTACTTTGCATTGTTTGAATTAAAATAAATGCAGTAATTATTCTTCTGAGAGTTTTTCCAGCACTTGACTTAGGAAACAAGTTCAAAATCAAATTGATTTCTGGTCCATATCATAATGCCATATAGGTAAAATATTTATGAGTGGTGAGGGTAGTACATAAGCAAATAAATTAACAGAAAATCATTTTGGCATTTTTACTGAAAAGCAAAATCTGCATTTCATTTTAAATCTGGAGTTAAACTTAACAGTTTAAAAAAATTACATGGATTTATCATGGCTATTTTTACTACACAGCAACTTTTCCCTCTGGAAAAAATGTCAAAATTCTCCTTATGGTAACAAAAAGTTCCTATTAAAACATGCATTTGACATTTCAAATACATTTATGTCTGAGTGTTCTATAAATGACCTCTGATTTGGTCTCAGAATGCAGATTGTTGCATTTGAAAATTTCCAGGAGAGATATTCCGAAACTCCTAAATTCACATCCTTATCCCTATTGTTCAGCAATCTTTCTGATTTTCCCCATTTACTTGAAAAGGGTAGTCAAATAAAATAGCTAGATAAATGATAATTCTTTGAACTACTTGGAGCTCTCAGCCCTGATCAATTCACCAAGTCATGTCAAAATCCCCTGCATAATGGCAACTCATCAAAATTTGATAAAAAGTTACTATTATTCATTTTAAGTTGATGCAGAAAAGAATGTTGTGAAGATAAATAAATTAAAATAAGTAAAGTTGAGACTGGGCTACTATTTATGCATGGTGCCATGGATGGTGCTGCAATATTAAACCCAATTAATCAATAAAACAAGCTGCATTTCTACATGATGAAAAACTAGACATTGCGTTACCCTGCCCTTTCATTCCTAACCCTGTCAATGTGGTATGTCCTATGTGAACATCCTTTATAATACTGTCACAGTCACTATCTGCTATAAAATGTTCAGATACACATGACCATCCTTTCAAAAAATTGGTTATGCCTGGAGAAACCCTGATTGTTTTCATTACAAGGGGAAAATGCACAAAAATGTGAGTCTAATTTCAACTGTCTTGACGAGCTATGCATAGAAATTTGAATGTAATTACCCGAAACGGAGTAAAGGATCAACACTGCATCTTTTCTCATTACTATCCAATGTTTTGGTGGCGCTGCAACTCCACTTCCGCATTATGTCACTCGGCACACATCGGTCAATTCCGTTACTATAGGAAAAGAGGAATGTCAGATTTCCGGAATTCTTCGACTCCTTCCGATCTGCTTTTCGTAGCAGACGAAAAATTTAGGTCCCTGATCAAAGTTAAATAGCACTGATATTTTAAATACACAAAAGTTTTATCCTAGGGATATTGTATTTATTGTATCAAGTTTGATTCTTTTCATTTTTTTTCCCACAAATCATTTTGCTATGTATCCAAGGATGCACGAGGATGATGATGTCAGAGTATATAAAGAGAGAGTATTCAGTGGCGTTATCATTTTGAATTTGTGTGAGACACGTTGCGCATCTCAGCACAAAGTCTAATCATCTCGTAGTGAGGATTTTAAAGAAATACAGTCAGAATGGTAAGTATTTATATACAGTTTTCAATGAAAAGAATTCATCTGAAAAATCCTGAATAATTTAACACGATAAACTTTTTATACTTTAGGAACGTAACTTTATATCTTACTATCTAGCTAATAATGGTACACTGAGTTATTTATATCAACAAGTGGTATGTTGGTTAATCACTGGAGATAACAACGTTATACTTATTTACGCATTTACCTCATTTGATTAATAGTGTCAGCCCACAGCGCTGTGATAATCCAGATTTTTTTTTTCTGTTGCATTTCATACTCTATTCCTATAAAGTTTAAAATGCATAGGCCCCCCTATATCTTGAGATAAGATTTTGTTAACAAAATAAAATATTTTCAAACTTCAAAAAAAAAAATTATTATATGAATCATTGAATATAATGTAAAAGCATTTTTTGTGTGTAAATCATTTGTTGTTTATTTTCCTAGCGTGAATGTATATCCATCCATGTTGGACAAGCTGGTGTCCAGATAGGAAATGCCTGTTGGGAACTCTACTGCTTGGAGCATGGCATTCAGCCAGATGGGCAGATGCCAAGTGACAAAACCATTGGGGGTGGAGATGACTCCTTCAACACCTTCTTCAGTGAGACAGGAGCTGGCAAGCATGTACCAAGAGCAGTTTTTGTAGATCTGGAGCCTACTGTTGTTGGTCAGTTTTGGATTTCTCCATTAATTTCAGATTATCAATGCATGAGCATCATATAATCCATATTGTATTAGTATAAATAAGGTGACATCAAGCACTTTAAGCATGGAAGCCCCTTCATAGGCTTTACAGGGGGGGGGGGGGGTAGATCTAGTAATTGATATATTTTCGTCAAATTATTCAGACTTGAATGAGAAGTGATGGAAAAAGACCAAGGCAGGTCAGGGTTTTTTTAGGGGTCATAGGGGGCCTGCATAAGGCTCCATTCCCAATGGTAAAAAGTATGTATTTTTCCCAATTTCATTAAAGAAAATTCCCAAAAGAGAATCGAAACAAGCAAATCGGTTTAAAAGTGTCCAAACTCGGTAATAAGTATATTAAAAAAACAAGATATGTTTGTGAAACACTATGCGCCCAGTGGCACAAATGTTGAAAAAAAAAAATATTTTTAGCATAAAGGTCAATGTCAAGGTCGCAAGGTCATTGACCTTGGTATCATTTGAAAGAACTTGATTAGTGGAGTAAGCATACCAAATAAGAAGTCCCTATCTCTCATGGTTCAAAAGTTATGGTTAAGGTTCTAAAAAGCTATTTTTAGCATATAGGTCAAGGTCACAAGGTCAATGACCTTGGTGTCATTCAAAGGAACTTAATGAGTGAAGTAAGCATACCAAATATGAAGTCTCTATCTTTCGTGGTTCAAAAGTTATGGCGAAGGTTAAAGTTTGATATAAAAAAGCTATTTTTAGCATTTAGGTCACAGTCAAGGTCACAAGATCATTGTCATTGGTATCATTGGAAAGAGTTTTATTAGTGGAGTATTGAAGTATTTATCTTGCATTTTTCAAAAGTTACTGTGAAGGATAAAGTTTGCAGAAAAAAAGCTATTTTTAGCATGTAGGAAATTTTCCGTCATTGAAGTTTGATCAGCATAACCTAATTCACAATCCTAGTCATTCAAACGCTTTTAAAAGAGAGTACATTATTCAAGCTTCTAGTTGATATTGATTGGTAAACATGTGCCATGTCCATGATGTCAAAATATACGTGTGCGATTGCAGAGTTAAGAAAAGTGTAGATGAGTAAGATACCAAATCACTATGATCTCTCATGGTTCAAAAGTTAGGGAAAAAATTAAATAAAGTACGAAGGTTAAAGTTTTTGTGGCCTTTGTAAAGGTCTACAAATGATCAGACAGACAGGACAAAAACAATATATGCCCTCGGTAGTAAAGCAAAATAGCTAGATAAATCCCTGTATCTCTCATGGTTCAAAAGTTAGGGCGAAGGTTAAAGTTTGCAGACAATCAGACAGACAGACAGGACAAAAACAATATATGCCCCGGATCTATTGATCCGGGCGCATAAAATTTCCAAATAAAAATCTATAAGGCATTCTCCTAGAACTGATTGACTGAATGTAAAATAAGTCAGAGAAATACCTTGCAAATGAAAATTTTGAATTTATATAAAAAATGTTAAATATGATATTTTCCCAATTTCAACCAAATGTCACTATTTTTCCCAATTGAAAAGGCCCAGGCCCTTGTTTTAAAGACCTAGAAAAAAGGGTTATGTGTAAGTGAGATGAGGTGCAGCAGTTCAGTTGCAGAATCTTGTCTGAGTTATGTATTAGTCAAAAACAGTCAATTTACCAAATATTTCATGGTGATGAAAAGGATGCACTACAAAGTTGTCATAAGACTTGGGGCTGGTGAATTTCCCCCACCTCTAATGCTGTAATCCCCCAGTTATTTTGGTATTCCTCCTAAACTGGAGCTCCCCATTAGGAGGAACCTGTGATTCCCTTCTACGTTTTAGATGTCCACTTCTATTTCAATTCTAAGGGACTACCCAGAATTACTAATAACATAAATAGGTATTTATTAAATGCAAGTCAATCCCAGATTTAAAGAGGGGCGAGAAGGGTCCATGCTTTGCTGTGATAATTGGGAAGAAGATACAGTAACACCTTGTGCTATTTTAGACAATGAAAAAGACATACTTTTGATATTGTAAGAACATTTTGACAGATGAGGTCCGCACTGGTACATATCGCCAACTTTTCCACCCTGAGCAGCTGATTACAGGGAAGGAGGATGCTGCCAACAATTATGCCAGAGGACACTACACCATTGGCAAAGAAATTGTGGACTTGGTTTTGGACCGCATCAGAAAATTGGTATGTTTGATGCATTGAAAACTTTCTTGAAAAACATTGCAACTTTGCATCATTCATAAAATAAACATTTGAATTTTGACATTTTCCAGGCAGACCAGTGTACTGGCTTGCAAGGTTTCCTCATCTTCCACAGCTTTGGAGGAGGCACTGGCTCAGGATTTGCTTCTCTACTTATGGAGAGACTGTCTGTAGATTATGGAAAGAAATCCAAGCTGGAATTTGCCATATACCCAGCTCCTCAGGTATTTACAAGCAGATGTAAATCATTTTTGAGAAATCGTGTAAAAACACATCTTAAACAATAATTTTAATACTAAAAAAAGATGGTATTGTCATGTCTAGGCAACTGACATTTTGGATGCATGTTCTAATGTTGAACTTGTTTTAATAGGTATCTACAGCTGTAGTTGAGCCCTACAATTCCATCCTCACCACCCATACTACTCTGGAACATTCTGATTGTGCCTTTATGGTTGACAATGAGGCAATCTACGATATCTGTCGCAGAAACCTGGACATTGAGAGACCAACCTACACCAACCTGAATCGTTTGATTGGTCAAATTGTCAGCTCAATTACAGCCTCATTGCGATTTGATGGAGCCCTGAATGTGGATTTGACAGAATTCCAGACCAACTTGGTGCCTTACCCTCGCATCCACTTTCCACTGGTAACCTATGCTCCTGTTATTTCAGCAGAGAAGGCCTATCATGAGCAATTGTCAGTGGCAGAAATCACCAATGCCTGCTTTGAGCCAGCAAACCAGATGGTAAAGTGTGATCCCAGACATGGAAAATACATGGCTTGTTGCATGTTGTACAGAGGTGATGTTGTTCCAAAGGATGTCAATGCTGCCATTGCCACCATCAAAACCAAGAGAACCATCCAGTTCGTGGACTGGTGCCCCACTGGTTTTAAAGTTGGTATCAACTACCAGCCACCCACCGTTGTCCCTGGAGGGGATCTGGCCAAGGTCCAGAGAGCTGTCTGCATGTTGAGCAACACCACTGCCATTGCTGAGGCCTGGGCTCGTTTGGATCACAAGTTTGACCTGATGTATGCAAAGCGTGCTTTTGTCCACTGGTACGTCGGAGAAGGTATGGAAGAGGGAGAATTCTCCGAGGCCCGTGAAGATCTTGCTGCTCTGGAGAAGGATTATGAAGAAGTCGGCGTGGACTCCGTTGAGGGAGAGGCAGAGGAGGAAGGTGGAGATGAATATTAAGAACTTTTGTAGTTTTCTGGACAGTTGGCAAAACATTGTTCTGTTAAATCCTCATAATTTAAATTACTTGTTTGGCTTGCTCATTTCACTAAATTGTTTTGAAAGGTAAAGGAGTAAAAAGATTTGACCTGTTGAAAAAATTTCAAAATTTTATGTTTATTAAAGAAAGATTTCAAAAGTTAGATCTTCATTGTGTTTTAGTGCTAGTTCGGGATCTACTTGATTGCAGGAAAAAGCTGGGGCCCATTTTACAAAAGAACTTATGACTAAGACCCAAAATTTACTTCTGCTAATAATTTTATTTATATAATATGGCTTTATTCAATTTAATAGGTATGTAGAAAGATACTTTTATGCCAGAAATTTTAAAACAAAATCAATTTTGCAAAATTTTACTATCAACTGAAGTTTTTTAATCTTGGTAGTAAGTTCTTTTGTAAAGATGGCTTATCCTTTGTGTCTGATTCTCTTGATATGAAAGTCAACTACAAGTCTTTTCAAAAATTCAGAAATAAGTAATAACATTCTTAAATTGGTAGTGTTAGGAAAATTTTCTCTGGAGTATTTTTCACAGATTATAACAGCATCAAAATAAGCCAGTACAGCAATGATACATGTACCATGTTACAGTTTCACATTTCTGAAGTTTTTTTCTGAAATGATTACACTCGACCACCAGGGGGTCCTGATTTCGAACAAATTTGAATCTACACTATAACGGGGGAAATACAACCAATCATAGCTGTTCTGAAGAAGAGTTAAAGATACGGTGTATTTCCTACGTACAATTTCGATCATCCTTTGTGACCTCACCTTAACCCTGTTTGTCAAGATTTGAACAAATTGAATCTTTCTACTTGAGGATGGTTCCACATAAATATGACCAATCTTGATGTTGTTTATAAGAAGTTTTTCCTTAATATATATATTCCCATGTAAACCCTTGATCATCCATTGTGGTCCCACTCTACTGGAGGGGATCATGATTTGAACAAAGTTGAATCTACACAGACTACACTACCTGTGGACATTTACGAAGAAATATGACTGAACATGCCTGGTTTTGCTGTTCTGAAGATTTTTATAGATATTTCATAATTATGTATTCCTTTGTACAACTTCCATTGTGGCCCCACAATACCCTAGGGGTCATGATTTGAATCTACACTTCCTAAGGATGATTCCATATGAGTTTCATCTTTCCTTGCCCAAAGGTTCTTGAGAAGATTTTTAAAAGATGTCGTTAATTTTTCGCTTATTTTTAATTATCTCCCCTTGGAAGAGGGTGTGGCCCTTCATTTGAATATAAATGACAAAATTTTGTGGTGTAAAGAAACTGAGTTCAAAGGGTTTTGAATTTATGGATGAAGAACTGTTAAGTAGTTACTGTAGACTGGCAAATAATCACGATGGTTTTAATTTCGCTATGTTCGCGATTTATCATTTTTCCGCGAAATTAAACCCATCGTGAATGCTATCATTAGTTTTTGAAAAGGTTTAAATGCTATTAGGAAATTTTGAATTAATTTTTTTTGCAGCGTGAAAGTAAAACCATCGCAAATAGTACTTTTTGAGATATCGTGAAATTTTAAAACCGTGGAATTAAAACGATTTACAGTATGTATGTGAATAATGTGACAATAATTTTTGTGGTGGACATGAATTTGTGGGTCTCTTCATACCTCTAACACAACGAAAATCAAACCCCCATGAAAAATAGTGATTTCACAGTACTTTGTGGCAATTTTGGTTGAAATTGGCCTAGTGGTTCCTCAGAAGAAGTCAAAAAAATTTTACAGACAGACAAAACTCACTTGAGCCTTCAGCTCAGGTGAGCTAAAAATGAATTAATATTGAATAATACTCCAATCAAGACCCAAAATGTATCATGATGAAACTTTAGTCATAATTCAACAGAAAGAACCAAATCAGAGAAGTACATTTATCCTATAACATTTATTGACTTGTATATATATCATGCAGATATTGTGTTGTAACTTCTTCCTATACATTTTAAAATAAATCTCTTGTTTAATTGTTTAAAAAATTAAATGTGTAAAATTATAAAGAAAACAATTAGCATTCAAATGTGGGGAAAAAATACATCAATTTGTGAACTTTACACAATCCCACTTATAAAGTTTGTCAAAAAATGCAAATAATCATTTCATATGAACAGATCTCAGGGAAAAAAAATGGACGGTTCTCTATGATACACCAAAAAATGCACCATTGAAAAAAAGTTGCTAGGTGCATTTACAACCTGCATAATGATGTAAAAATACAGACTAATGCCTGATTGAGAAGATGATATGTGAACATTTGTTATTTACATCCATATTTCTTTCTCTCTCATTCTTCTAAATCACTTGTTCGACCACAAGTCAACCTATCTTAATTTTATCTTTTAATCTCTCATACATGACCAACTGTGGCACACTCATGAATGTTTACAAGTATACATTACATTTAAATGAATTTATATTATCATAAGGAGAGGAAAAATCAATGTTCTTGATTTGAAAGTATATAAAAATTCAAAACCTTGAATTTTTATAATGTCCTTGTACATCCAGTGTTAATACAATTATCATATTTGACAGAAATGAAAAGATATTACAGTTTCTACTAAATATATACTCTCTCACAGTCACATAAATTAATTTGTTAAAAACAAAAAATATATATACATGTTATCCGACACATAATCAATAAGCACAGAAGATAACATTATTACACTGACAAAAGAAAAAAGTCCAATGGTAGTATGCTGACATATTTTCAAATTTGGGGGGAAAAGTCATGTACAGAACTTTGTCACCAGAAGCAAGAAACTGTAAATATACATGGAATAAATAGACAGACAAGAAATATATGAATGAGAGGTTGACTTCACAAGTTTCCCATAGGTTCTGTTGACCTTGTCAGTCCCTCTACACTGTGGAAACTGTTCATCATCTGTCAACATTGTTTGTGTCCACTGTTAAATAGTTAGGTCACTAATTACTTTATTTTTTCTTTCCTATAGCCTGACTCATCCACTCTATGCCTTCCTGAAATATCAATAACCAAAAAAACTGTAAAAGGGCATAAGAATTTCAAATGATAATGAATGTTGTGTACAAGTTTACTTACTGTATCTATTAATCACATACTTTGTGTCTTGTACATACAATGTAAAAAGAAAGATAACTCTTATCTCTGTCAAGGTGAATTTAAGACAGTTGCGTTATAAAAATACTTTTTACGGTATTGTTTTTTTTTTTACATTGTAAAACTTAATTTACTTAAAAAACAACTCAATATCTGCATTTAAAAAAAAGTGGGACAGTCAGCTACTGCTAGACAGACAGACTATCCAACAAAAACAACACCTATAGTTCACTCCAATTTCACATTAGGGATTAGCAATAACTGACCAAACAACAGCCTATGACAGGTTGAGGATATACTAGTATATTCTTGCCATTCCAGTCATTTGTTCATTTACTACAATCTTCTTTAATTTATACAGTAAAACATCCTCAATATGCTTATAACAAAATGGAAAGGATGCCGGTGGATTATTTTGTGTCATTATAAGTAGGATTTAGTGTATCTGTCTTTTTGCACAGAACATGCTACATACCGGAACTCCCTCTCCAGTCTGTGCTGAGCATGCCTGGACATGCCACTTCCTGTCTCTAATCGTGTCTAGTGATAAACCCCGAGCTATTTCTGAAGCCTGTGCAGCTTGTAGCAAGTCCTGCTTATTGGCATAAACTAACAATGGAACTCCCTGTAGCTTCGGTTCATCTAATAATTCTGACAGTTCCTGTAAGATAATTAATTAAGTGCATTACCAAAATACATACTTTAAAGTTTAACATTTCTGTCATACTATTGAAGTTATGAAATTGAAAGTTATCTATACTGATTGTAAAAAATAACAGTCTTTTAAAAGAAAATTTTCGTTAACTACATTTCCAAAGGTGTAGCAGTAAACAATGATGATACGTCCTTTTAACCACGGAAATTATTTTCCAGTTCAGACATCAAAATACTTGCATTCTCTGCTTTATCAAGTTTAATATCAATTGTAATTGCCTAAACTAAAAACTTGATTTTTCCAAAAATTATAATCTGAAAACTTACAAGACCAGTTTCTTCAAATCTCTTTTGGTCTGCACTATCTATTACATATATCTGAAACAAAATAAATCAGTTAAACTTTTTAACTGTTATGATTTTTTTTTCTTTCTGAAGACAAGGAAATCAAATTTTATACAAGGTAAATGCAAGGCATTATGAGACATATTTAAAAAAATTCAACTTTTGATGTAAAATTGCGTTGCTTTTTACATGTTTTATAAGTTCAAATTTACCGCGCAATAATACAACCGTAGTAACGGAAGTGATTTGAAGCGAGGGGAGGTAATAACTGATACATAGATCTAGCAGCCATGATGTTTGTTTACATGAGGTAAGAACGAGTAATTGTTTAAAGTTGAAGGTGCATTTATTAAATTTGGAATTTTCCATGGATTCCGAGGACTGGAAATGAGGAGATTGCATTGATATGATGATTAAGCTGGACGTCAAGGGGGTGTGCCCCATACCAAACCAGATTATACAAAATGTTTTGCGTTCCTTTTTGGAAATCAACCAATGAGAGGCGAGAACACAAACAAAATTAAATTATTTTAAAAAATTCTCAGAAAAAAATTACTCACAAGAACATCAGTATTTTCAAAGTAATTTTTCCAGTATGGTCTGATTTTCCTTTGGCCTCCTATGTCCCAGACATTGAGTTTATAACCTTTATTAACAACTGATTTAATATTGAAACCCTGAAAGAGAATGATTTCATTAGAAAAAAATTATTACAAAAAGCATAACACGAAGAATTCAGACAGGCCAATCACCAATTGTTGCCCCTCCCTACCCCTCCAGCATGACTTGAATGAATTTAAATCTACACTTCCTGAGAATGCTGCCACATACATTTCAGAATTTGGTTAAGTGGTTTTTTTACCAGTCTGAGAAAATTTTCAAATAAATCTGTAATTATCTTCCCTTGGAAGTAGATATGACCCTTCATTTTGAAAGACTTAAATCCCCTTTACCCAAGGATACTTTGTGGCAAGTTTGGTTAAAATTGGTGTAATGGTCCTTGAGAAGGAGTTTAAAATATTAAAAATTAAAAACAGACAGAGGAATGTGATCAAAATAGCTCACCTGAGCCTTTGGCTCAAATGAGCTAATAATACCAGTACATGTAGTATCTACCTGAGTCGGTGTAATATGGCTGATATCTTCTGATGCTAACTTTTTCAGAAGTGTAGTTTTCCCAGCATTATCTAAACCTAGCAGAAGTATTCGTAGTTCCTTTTCTTGGTTTGACTTGAGCTTCCTGATCAAATCTAATAATCCCTGCAAAGAAAAAATAAATAAATTAGCATGTTTTATACAATATGCCATTTATACATATCAATCTAACTTAAACAAAACATGTATTATAGCAAGCAATATCTAATACTATTATTATAAGTCTATAAAAAAAGAAAATTAAGTAACATAAAATGATTAAGGAATGGAGAAAGGGTTGTGTTTAAAGCTTGTACTTGTAAGTGGAATAACAGTGCTTACAATTTTCACAAACCATCCAATTCAATCATTTTTAGTATGAAGTTACAGTTCAAAATTGATGTTTGTAATCAAATATTTCTAAAGATACATGTCTGCTCAATGTATGTAACAAGCTTAGCAGTGTATCCTCTGGTACCAGGAAAGTTGACCTGGTAGCTCTGTGATTCAACATCCGCATTGTTTGGGAAAGGTACTGGGTTCAAGTACCAGTCTGGCTAATAACTTAATCCTGCAATCACCACTTGAATTGACGAAAAAATACCCAATATAAACCTGAGCTATATTTGCCTATGCCAAAATATATAGCCTCATGCATTTTAAAATGTTTTGAAAGCATTATGACATCATCTATATTCATCGTTTATGCCAAAGTGTCAGTAATGAGTTTCAATTGCAAAGAAGCATCTAATATTGTTGAAAAAAGCTTGTTTTGGAAGTCAAATGTTAAACAATGCTGCAGAATTAAACAAAATACATTACAACTGTCTCGAAATATACCTGGTAAGCAATATTTGGGTTCGAGATAAAATACTAAAGAGGGGGCTGGACAAGCTCCATCATGTTTTCTTACCCTCACCAAATATGGTTTATATTTTGAATCCTAACCATTTATTCTTTATATTTAGGCACCCAATAGCAGACCTGAAGGTTTGTTTAATAAAGATGGATTTACAGTTAATACAAGTCAGAAGAAAACTTCTAGAAAAACAAGTAAGAATATGCAACAGGCACATATTCGCATGTTAGTCTGGATCAATTATAGAGGTTCCATATTTGTAGGAGGACCTACGTTCGACAGGTCCAGCACAATACCCTGATAAAGGTATGTAGCTTGATAAAGCTATATATAGCTTTATCAAGGTATTACAAATACCTTGATCAAGGTATTTTATGTAAAGAAAATACCAAAGAAAAAAAAATTAAATTAAGTTTAAAAGTCAAATTATGAGTTGTGGTCAGTGTGTTCACTCATGTATGAAAAGTACTTGGGTATCAAAAAGACAGCATAAAAGAACGTCTCCTCATACAACATGCTTTTATACTGATTTCTTTGTGTTTGAGTACTTTACTTGCATGAGTGAATTTACAGACAACTCAGAACTCGACTTTCAGTATTTATTTTTTTAGAATTTATTTTTGTATTTTCATTACATAAAATACCTTGATCAATGTATTTGTTATAGCTTTATCAAGGTATTACAATTTGTAATGCCTTGATAAAGCTATATAGCTTCATCAAGCTATATATCTTTATCGGAGTATTGTGCTAGACCTATTCGATTCCCAATCTGGCTGATTAATTTTCCCTGCCTGTAATATTCCCTAATTTATTTCCCATAATAACAGCAAAATTTCCCTGACGCCATTGTATCCCAGCAAAGTATATATGACGATCACAGATATGAAGTATTTTCACGAATGGTAAAATAAAATAATAACGAAAAAATGTGCAGTTCAGAAGCATGTACTTCAAAAGAAATTTTGAAATGACATATTTACATGGAGGCCATGTTTTAAAAACAATGAGAGAAGAGTGTGACTAAAATGGGTAGCGAAACCCGGGCCGGGCCGGGAATTTCAAAACTGAGAGCCGGGTTTTTGATAATTACGAGATAAATACTCATTCTTTCTTCACGAAATTTACAGACATAGTTTATAAGTATAGGTTTTGCCTTCGCTGAGAATTTTAAGTCAAAATGTTTTGTTTTTCGATGATTATCGCCGATTGTCCTTTTCCAGGTGACTAAAATGGGTAGCGAGCCCGGTTTACTCATTTTGGCGATTTTAAGCTTAATGCATCGAAAGTGTTTGTGATATTTGCATTTAATGGTTGTTTATTAACTTCAAATAGTTAAATTGTTCAATAATTATGAAATTAAATGTCAATTATTAGGGTTTTTGTCATTTTTCATAGACCCGGGACAGGTCAAAACCGGACGCGTTTGCCCGGGACAAATTAATAATTCCGGATTGCCAGAGAAAGAATGTAGATTTTTTTCAGACCCTGACCGAGATACATCTAAGAAATAAATTGGAAAAAATTAATAAAAATATGCAAATCAAAAAAGAGTCATTTACATTTCAATTATATGTCATTATCTGATAAGTATTTCGGAAATAAAAGGTTTTTCCCGGGTGAACGTGTCCAGTTTCGACCAATCCCGGGTGTTCAAACAAGAGGCCCACGGGCCTTATAGGTCACCTGAGTATCATGTAACAACTTTCCAGTGATTGTATTTGGTTCGTGTTTTAATCAAAAAGCCATGAATTTCACAAATTTTGAAGGAGGCACCATTGCTTATTAAAGGGCAGATTTCAAAGCATTAATTTATTTTTAGTCAAAGTACCCCCCTGGTACCCCTGACCCAGCGGCCCTGAAATTATCTATTTTGAAAGAGACCCCTTTCTTCATTATAAGGCCAGCATTTTTTTATGTTTAGGTTTAGTTATGAACATGAGAATTTTTGATAAATCAATTATTAACATTTGTACATTCTTTTTTTAAGCTATTCTAATAGGCTCCTTACAACTGGACACATAATACTTACAAATACTAAAGTAGAACATTTAATTGCTTATTTCATCATCTGCCAGTTTGGGCCAGTTATATAAATTTTGTGATGTTGGTCAAAATATATTTTAAAAAATCAATTCTTTAAAAGTCTTTCAATTTATCTTCATTTTTTAAAATATGTGTTAGGTGAATGTGTAGACAATGTTCTAAAATTTACTTGATGCCTAAAATTATAATTCCTATCATAAAACAGACAGGGAGTATTGGGAAGTATGGTGAAAATTTTTCCAATTAACTGTAAAATAATTTTTCTGGCTGATACAATTGATACTACATGCCTGTATATATTTGTATATTCTTGCCGCCTTTTAATAGTTGAATTTTTTCTTATTTCTTCAGGTTATTGTTTATTTCCTCCTCAAATGGACTTAACTTCTCCCATAGTTTTATTCATTACATCTGATGCATAAGCAACCCTTTTTTGAAGAATGATGCTTAGACTGTAAGCTATAACAGAGACCTAAACTGTAACAATGTCGCTGGCAATATGCAATAGCTACCACGGGCAGTTTAAAACCTGGGGGAGGAAAATAATTTACAGACAGATACTTAAACGAATACATAATTATCTCACCAGCATGCCATTGTGCAGCAAAGTCGTCAGCATTTTATTTGTCCTTTGAATGGGTGAAACGTTTTTGAATGGCACTCGTATCAATGAATTTTACACTAAACCAAGCTCAGATCTAGCTTTATAAGTTTATTTACCCGCCGTTTCATCTTAAAACCGGAAGTGCGAGTTCGTAAATTTGAAATCTCGATCCCGACTCTAATTTGACATTGGAAAGAAAAAAATTGTGTTATTTTTTTTCTGAAAATTCAAAACCTTGAGCGGAGGGTTTGTAAAACTGAAAATAAAATAAATCCTGGCCTTAAATATGTAATTAGGTCATTAGTATATTAACCAGGAGCAAAGGATAAGATGTTCAAAGAATTCATGCATTTCACTATTAGAGCCCCGCCCTAAAACAAGAACCCCTAACCCTGGGGCCATAAAATTCACAATTTTGGTAGAGGCACTTTTGCTCATCATAACTATGTACTTAGTTAGTTTATTTAATACCCAGGAGCAGAGAAGAAGATTTTCAAAAATTTCATGTATTTTCACTATATTTAATCAATAGAGCCCCGCCCTAACACCAGAACCCCTGACCCTGGAGCCATAAAATTCACAATTTTGGTAGAGGCACTCTTGCTCATCACAACTATGTACTTAGTTAGTTTATTTAATACCCAGGAGCAGAGAAGAAGATTTTCAAAGAAATAATGCATTTTCACTACCTACTTATTGAGCCCCGCCCTAGCACTTGAACCCCTGACCCCAGGGCCATGAATTTCACAATTTTGGTAGAGGACTCATTGCTGATTACAATCATGCAAACAGTTTGACTGCTTGAAGTCCAGGAGTAAAGAAGAAGATTTTTAAAGATTGCATTAATTTTAGTGGTTTTGGCCCCACCCCTCAGGCCCCAGGGAGGCAGGGATCATGAAATTCACAATTTTTGTTCCCCTTCACCCATAGATGCTTTGTGCCAAATTTGGTTGAAATTGGTTCAGTGGTTGCAGAGAAGAAGCTGAAAATGTTCAAATGTTAACGCACGGCGCACGACGGACGACGGACGACGCACGACGACGGACGAAAACGGATAGCAATAGGTCACCTGAGTTTACTCAGGTGACCTAAAAATGCGTATATTTTCAATAATCGTGATTTATTACTGCAACAGTTAAATGTTTTAGGTAGTTTAAGTTCAATTTCAAAGATCCAAATGAAATAATTGTAAATATGCTGCCGAAATTAAGTTTAAATCGCCAAAATGAGTAATCCGGGCTCGCTACCCATTTTAGTCACTTAAAAAAGGACAATCTGTGATAATCATTAAAAAACACAACATTTTGATCTAAAACTTTCAGCGAAGGCCAATCCTAGAATAATTAACTATGTCCCTAAATTTCATGAAGAAAGAATGAGTATTTATTTCGTGATTATCAAAAACCCGGTTTTCGTTATCGAAAATCCCGGCCCGGCCCGGGTTTCGCTACCCATTTTAGTCACACTCATGAGAGAACATGAAAAGAATATTCTGTCGAGACCTCCCTCAGGAAAAATACACATATTGTAATAAGACAAATGAATAATGCTGAGATCAAACCATCGTTTTCACTTGTACAGTGTATAAAATCAAACAATTTACCATTTTCCACGCTAGTCGGCTTCCCTATGTTACTACGAATGACGTCACAGCCTCGTTTCAATTGAGAATTCCAAAGACTCTTTTTATTTCCATCACAGAAGAGTTCCCAAACATTTCCATGTGAGATCTCCATTCTCCTGTTTATCTCCCATTCTAAATACCCTACTAATGGTAAGTGTGGAACAGTGGAAGCATACGATAAAAGTCTCAGTATATAACCGAAATGCAGACATTATAGAATTTAAGACGAGACATGACCTTAAAATTTTATAGCATAGATTAAGGCTTGTTGAAAAATTCTCAAGTGGGATGTTAAACAACAGAAAGTCAAAATCAAGTTCTGACATTAAACGCATTAATTACCCAATAAGAAAACAGACTGATGCTGTATATAAGAACTGTGTTACAATATAAAAACAAAATCAGGTCTACAATCACTAGATTTAGCTACGTAGCTTGATTTAGCTACATAGCTTTATTTACCTACCTGAGGTAGCTTTATTTAGCTACCAAATGGGTTTATTTCTATTTAAAAGCATTTTTCTCAGGGTGTGCAGAAAATATCATTTTGATGCAGTGATCATTTTCAACTTTAAACTCATCTGAAAACAACTCATGAAAAAATCCTCTTGGAAAAATGTCGACGTCTTTTTCTGTGCAATTGCAATCAAAGTTCTGAAAGTTTTGGGGCTATGTATGACAGTTAGAACAGTTACCACTTGGATGAAATGACAAAGAAGTCCAGTTCCGGTTAACATGATAATAGGTCGGTAATTATTCAGTACAATTTGAAGTAATCATACTCAGTCATGCCTCACCGTACAGACAGCTAACCAAACAATGGAATTACACGTTTTGCTCTAAATTGTCCAAATGCAGCAATGTATAAACTATCTCTGCTTTGGATTGTTTTTTTAAGCCTCCCTAGTATAAATATTAATAGTCATTTAATTGCGACTTTTTGTCTCTTTTTAATAAAAAGAAAATTTTTGAAAACTTACCTTGAAATAGCTAAATAAAGTTACCTGAGGTAGGTAAATAAAGCTACGTAGGTAATTCTACCTATGTAGCTAAATCTAGTGATTGTACTGGACCTGAAAATATAAAATCTCTTTTCATTGTGAGATAATTAAACAATTCTTTTCAATTTAGGTTATAGACATAAATGTGTGTGCTTTAACTGCTTTTGTTTGATTCTAATGGTGAAACCCCTTTTTTTTAGAATGAAGTAGCATTTGTCAGTAAAAGCTTTCTTTACTTAGTTTCAATGTCAAGATAATTTTTTTTGCAGTAAATTAGGCAATTATTATCAGATAGCTTTGTCTCAAAGATATTTAAAACATGGTTACAGTACTTAGTTCATAAATGAAGGCTAAAAATGAGATGGTCTGTTTTACTACATGATAACATTCTAGCACCTGTACCAATTCATGCATTACTATCAAATATCCCCCATTTATGATTAATAATATTTGAATATATGTTAAATTTAAAAGGAACTTAATGCTGCAATTTTGCATACGAAAGATAAAAAATAACTATTATTATAGCATATAGAGTTAAAGTCAATGTAAACATGGTTTTACTTATCTTAAATTGCTGGACATGGATCAGATGTTTTTCTGTAAGGGTTGAATTACCCAAGCATGAACATATATAGGTAGAGAGCCTCAACTTCCAGATCACATTACCAATTCTTCAGCAGAGATATACCTATATACTAAACAGTGATGTATCCTTGTGATACCCAATTCATATATGTTTATAAATTCATTGAGGATTTCTAAATTCTAATTTTTATTTCCCCCATAATGTTTGTAAGTTTGCTATTATTTTACAGAGATGGAGAGGGTGGACCTAAGTCAGCCTATCTGGGATCTGAACACATTCAGGGGGAGACTTCAGTATTATGCATGGATCACCAATCCTCTACTTAGCCTTCACTCAGAATCAGCGCTGTATTCTGCCAGGGACCTCGTCCAGAAATATAGGTAATTGTTAGAATAGCAGCACTGAAACCAGAGTAAAAGAAGAGTTAAGAAGAGCTAGATCGAGATACCAGTAACAAATGCTGTGTTTTATTTTTTTTTTTTTTTTTAAAGTTCAAAGTAGTATAATTACTTTTTAAAGTTTTATCAAGAACAGTGTTCTTTAATTATATGTTTGCATTAGTCTTTAGTGTAAATTCTAGGATTTTTTTCATTCTTTTAGTTGAAATAGAAAAAATTTTAGAAAATAAATAATTAACAACCATATATAAAACAATTACATCATTTAATCATCCGTTGGTCTCACTAGTTTTGTGAATTCTTCAGAGCTGGGGAAGAACCTCCAGGAACAACAGTGAGCCAGTTAAGACAAGCCCAGCAACTGTACCTCTCGGCATTCCATCCAGATACAGGGGAAATCCAGAATGTCATAGGGAGAATGTCCTTCCAAGTCCCCGGGGGCATGATTCTGATAGGAGCCATGATCACATTCTACAGGTAAGGTTACCTAGTCCTTGGGGGGTGGGGGTGGGGGGTGGGGATGGGGGGGGGGGGGCATGATTCTGACAGGGGCCAGGATCACATTCTACAGGTATTTACATACAAAGAGGTAAACAATGTAATATTAGCACAAATGGTTTATTTAACAGAATAATCCAAATTGAATTGATCTATTTTTTCTATTTTAGGAGCAATACAGCAGTTATTTTCTGGCAGTGGGCCAACCAGTCTTTCAATGCCCTTGTGAATTATACCAACAGGAATGCAGCTTCAGACATTTCCAAAAAGTAATGTAAAACAAACAAAATAATTTCCACCCTAGATGCTCTACATTATTATATATCACGTAGAATTAGAGAAAAATAATAATTATTTCTGAATTTTTATTTGATTTCCTATCCAAGTACATGTATAATGTTCTTTTACAGATTTGGGGCTAATTTTATAATTTTACTGGCAGTTTAAATATGCCTTTCCAACTCTTTAAAATTAATCAGTTTTTTAATACGGTACATCTTACTTCATTTATGCTATTCAGACTTTACATACATGTATCCTTTTCTAACTTTACAGACAACTAGGATTTGCTTATGTCACTGCTACTTCATGTGCTCTTGTTACTGCACTGGGCTTGAAGGCTTTCCTTGCCAAGGTAAGGTCAAGATGAAAGCTAAAAATTTAACATGTTTGTTTGTTAGTGATTAATTCACATTTTGCAAAGAGTATGAGTTGTGTCCCTTTACAGAGTCCACCTAAATTTATTCTATTATGTTACTAAACATTTTGACATGTTACAATTAAGTAATATTTTTTAATTTTTCTTTCATTGTATGGGTAGCCCTATACAGGGGCAAAACCAAAATATATACTTGTATAAGTACATGTACAAGATATATTTTTATGTAAATTGACAAAGTAACAAAGTAGAAAATTACAAAGGCCTCTGTGATACAAATTCTATGGCTTTCTCAAAGATTGTGACCAGGGGACAAAACTTTTGAAAAATATGGATTTATCTTGATCAAACTGAATCTTCAAATCATCATTACATGGCACTCTGTTAAAAGAAAGTTTTGCTGTAATAATTTCCAAAATGGAATTCATATGACTTTAAAATTGATTTTCCTATATGAGGATGAGAAATTTTTCAGCTATAAGACATTTGCTTAAATACAACACTGGATAATTTTTTAACATATGTAACTTATCTTTCTCTCACAACATTTGAAAATGTTTTACAACCCCAGGCATGTAGTCATATTAACACCCATGTAATTGATAGTTACGTTTTGACAGAGAGCTGCTCCAATGCTTCAGCGCTTTGTGCCGTTTGCTGCAGTCTGTGCCTCCAACATGGTAAACATTCCTCTAATGAGACAAAGGTAATTAATGGACAGGAATAGTTCACAACTTATACACTTCTCTTATTCTACTTAAGGTTTATCTAGTCTTTAAAAATTTTCTGATGATTAATTTCTGTCTCCTCCTTTGAGTTTATAGTGAACTGACCAAAGGAGTTGTAGTAACAGACGAAGAAAATAATCCTGTAACCAAATCCAAGGTTAGTGTCTACTATCCATGCCTTTAAAGAATAAATAGCTGCAGAACTATAGCTCTCTGACTGAAAAAAACAGGTGAATCAGAGAGAAATAGATCTAAGCAATGTTTAAAACCTTGTCTGTCTGAAATTTTTCAATTACTGTAGAAGTACTTTTTTCCACGTGGTATTAATTTACGCTATGTACGCGGTCACAAATTTTCCGCGGAAATTGGTCCAAGTGTACTTAATATAAATGTAAGGCATATAGTGACAATTTAGAAAATCCGCGTAATTTTCTACCAGCGGATTAAACAGAAATTGAGAATCCGCGGAATTATGACCCCGTGGAAAAAAGTACGTCTACAGTATATGTACATACGGTAAAATCACATACATGTATTTCTGTGGGGTCGAATTTTCTTAGTTTGATGAAAAAATACGGGCTCATGGTGATTTAATTTTGTTGGTGAATAATTATTGTTGAGTAGTATTATCTGTGAAAAATTACATTTGGTGGTGGACATATATTTGTGGGTCTCTTCATACCCTGAAAACCATGAAAATTTCCACCACCCCACCACCCCAAATATAGTGATTTCACAGTATATGAAAATAAAAATGGAGAACTAAGTAGCCATTTATTGATCACAAGAAATTCTAAAAGCAAGATGATATTTATGTTGTATCAGTATATTACAAAACATGTGCAAAGGAGTTTATTATTGCATAATTTCATAAACACTTCCCACAAAATAAATTTTCAGGCATTTATTTTGTATTGGTGAAATACATGTGAAAACTATTGATCATCAATCACAAATTCAAGTTTTCATGAATAAATGTCATCTTGTGATATCTAGTACTTGTGTGAGTTAAGGATTCTACAGTACTACAGGACTTGGTAGTATAGAGCGACCTTGAAAGGAAAAAAAAACCTCCCCCTGTAAAAAAGAAATGTCCTTCATTTACTGCCCTGTTCACACGGAGAGTTTAATTCAAATTAAATGTAAGTTACTGCGAATTAGCTTTGCTTAGCGTTCACATGGAGAATTTAATGCGAATTAGTTTAATTTGAAGTTATTTACTGTACATTAAATTACTTCACATTAACCCCTTGTGAACGCTAAGCGAAGCTAATTCGAATTAAATTTTGACGCATGCGTAAGGCCAAAATTCAGTCACAGGACACATGCTGGTGGTAAGATATAGGTATCTGTGCTATATTTGGTTCAAAAATCAAGGAAAAATGTGTTGATCACCAAATGTATACCTGTAGCCACTATGATTATTATATCAAATGGATGGCTCTGCATACATGACGTGATTTACAAATGATGTTATAATAGCCTTTCTGAATAGCCTTTTTGTAGAAATAAAATTTTAATTTGCATGTTTACTTCTCTTTAGCTGTTGTGTGAACGCAATTTAATTCACATTAGTTTACTTCACATTAATTTTCTGCAAATTAAACTCTCCGTGGGAACAGGGCATTATAAAGATTGAGATGTCCTTCTAAAAAGGTAAAAAAGTAAAAGTTTAAATAAAATGATGCTGCCATAGTTTATTGATTGATGAATTATAATTGTAGTATGCAGCTATAAAAGGAATAAGCCAAGTGGTATTTTCAAGAATTGTCATTTGCTCTCCTAGCATGGGTAAGCCTTTGTCATCAAGTGCAAAATTTAATTGTTTGAATTTGGATCCCAAATTTTTCATTTTGAATATATGCAAACTAATGTTCAACTGATTGCCTAATTTAATTTAAGCAACAATTTGATGAATTTTTTAGTGATATTACCTATTTTTATGGAGAAGATGGATAAAATGCCTTTTATGCTGAGATATGGCCGCTACATTAATGCTCCCTTACAAATCCTGCTGTCTGGTTTAAGGTTTGTTCACCCACTGCAGATTTGTAGCTCACTTTAGCCAGAGGCTCAAATGAGCTTTCCTGACCAAAGTTTGTCTGTGCGCTTCCATCTGTAGTTCTCTGTTAACATTTTACATTGTCTCTGTCATAATTAGCTGAACAACTGGGCCAACAACCAATTAGCACAAAGCTTCCTTGGGTGAGGGGGATTAAAAATGTTCAAATGAAGGTCCTATTTATTCACACACACACACATACACCGTCACCCACACACACACACACCTTCCCCCACCCTACTAGGAGTAAGGGAGGAGGGAAAATAGGAAATCAAATTTTAACATGGGAATACAGTAAATCATGATTATAATGAGTTCATGCTTACAGTAAATTCCATGAAGTTTTCAGTGGATTGTAAAAATTCATGCTTACAGTAAAGTGTCATTTTCATTCCATGAAGTTTTCAGTGGATTGTAAAATTACTAGTCTGAGGTATAAGGATATTTTTAAAGAAAGAAACATGTTTGTCTCTTGCACTTCTGTACAAACATTTTTTACTGATTATAGGAAAGATTAATTTTTAAAAACTTCTTGTTACAAGAAGAGCAAGGCCTTGTTCAGTGATATTCATTTGCAAGCATCTTCGGGTAATGTGTTGATAAAAGTTGTTTTTTTTTAATCATGAACCAAAAGGGGTGGGGTAACAATAAAGGGATAAAAGTTTTACATGGAAATATGGAGGGTCACTATTCTGAAGAACAGCATTGCAAAAATGACTCAGGTGAGTGCTGTGACCCAAGGGCCTCTAGTTCATAAAGTGTCCAAAGAGGACTTCATAACTAATTTGTTCACTTTCCTTGAATTTTATTCTAATGGAATGAAATTGCTAAGATATGATGTATTTTTTCAATTTTATAGTTTGGTTGTAATGGTTCCAGTTGGCTGTGCTCTATTTAACCAACAATGGTAAGTGCTCTCATGTGAACACAAAGATTCTATTCTATGATTTGATTTCTATCATAGACTTTAAGAAAACATACAAAATTTATCTATATGTTTAGGGAATAAATTTACATGTACTTGATTCAGCAGAGGCAAAAAAAATTGTGGGGATGAAATTCTGTGATGCTTTTAGTGGGACTAAATTTTGGTGTTGTAAAAATTACCACTTAAGATATAAAACCATTAAAAAAATCTTATGGGACATGTATTCCATTTCATTGATAACAGAATTAATGTATTAAATCCTAGTTTAATATATCTGTAAGTGTATCTCATTCAAAGGTTGTTTAAAGTATTATGGTACAATATATTAAACATAATTTCTGTAAAACATGGTTCAGATTAAAAAGGATGAAAACAAAAAATAAAGTTTTATATAATAATATAACCAACTTATCTGGATCCAAATGACATCTTGTAAATAGCTTTTGTTCATTAGTTAAAAGAAAGATTGTTTTTGTACGTTATGTTGACAATGAAAGGCATATTACATGTTCTGTCAAAAATTGAATATTTAAGGAATGAAGCTAATTTCAACTTATGTTATCCGATATAACATAACTTGGGGCAGTTTACGCTTTATAAACCGCGAAGCGGTTTATAAAAAAGCGTAAACAAGTTTTGTTATATAGGATAACATAAGTTGAAATTAGCTTCATTCCTTATAATTTAATTCTAGTGTAGGCAATGAGTCAATATTTCCTCCGGAAAAAGACTTCAAATTGAGCATTATTTTAAAAGTAACGTCAAGCGGAGTAATACGTTTTTGACGTAACTCATTGTGACGTAGGCAAGTTATGTTATCCAAAATATTATATGTTCCTCTGAATGATTCAGCCAATGAAATTGCTTAATACAAGTGAAATTAAATTATTATAGATAAATGTCATTTACTGTATCAAATGTCTTCCTTATTTTCAGTTCTATATCCGTAGACAAGTTGAAAATTCTCGACTCGGATGCATATGAAGAAGTCAAGTCCAAATATGGAAAGAATATACCTAAGACTCTATATTTTAATAAAGGCTTATAATTTATATGAATTTCACTCAAGTGCATAATACATGTATTTATATGTTCATTGTATTTAAATAAATTATTTATATTTTAATGATTAAAATAATCATCTGTTTTAATTCTGCATATACTGTAAAATCACATATTTTCATGAAGTCAAATCAACATGGTTTAAGTCAAACCCTTGTTTCCTGGGAATTTGATTTCGTGAATGAAGAATTGTTGAGTAGTTATGTATGTAACATTTTACATTTCGTGGTGGACGTGAATTCATGGGTCTCTTCATACTTCCAAAACATTAAACCCCCCCCCCCATGAAAATTTGTGATTTCACAATACTTTTAAATACTGTAAACATACTTTTGTCACAGGAAAGGAGAAAATGCTGCGGACCAGACGGGGATTCGAACCCAGGCCCCCTGAAACTCCGGTCAGGTGCTCTACTGACTGAGCTATCTGGCCATCGGTGATCGAACCCAGCTGACCACCACATTCCTCCCTCCTTAAAGGTCTTTGGCCCCCCAAAGACCCCAACCTAGGCTCATCCCTGGCAGGCCTCTCACATGTCAGTTCCAGGGCATGGCACGGCACCAAATTTAATGGGAGAGGAGAAAATGCAGCAGACCAGACCAGGATTGAACCCGGGCCCCCTGAAACACCGGTCAGGTGCTCTACCAACTGAGCTATCTGGCCACCAGCGATCAAACTCGGCTGACCGCCACACTTTTTCCACAGGGTCATAATTCCGTGGAATCAGTATTTCTGTTTAATCTGCAGGTAGAAAATTACATGGAGATTTTAGACTCATTATATACCTTAAATGTACATTAAGTATGATGGGACAAATTTCTGTGGAAAATATGTTGCTGTATATATATGGCATAAAAAGGTATGTGCCAGTACAGTAAATGTACCAACCCATTTTTCCAAAGAGACAGTGACACACATATGGAAAACACTTTATTTATAACAATTTAGAATCTACACTACCCCAGTATTCTTTCACACAAGTTTCAGCTTTTATGGTCCAGTGGTTCTTGAGAGCAAGATTTTAAAAATAGAATTCTGTAATATTTCCATATGAAACTTGTATTCAGTATTGTGGCTCCACCCTTAAGGATCATGATTTACAAAATTTTAGTCTTTACTACCCTAGGATGCTTTCACACAAGTTTCTGTTTTTCTGGCCAAATGGTTCTTGAGAAGGTTTTTGTCTTTTCTTGATTACTACCCTTATAAGGGGGTTTGGCCCTTTCTCTGTTAATTTAAAATTCCCTTCACCTGAGGATGCTTTGTACCAATTACAGTTATAAAATTACCCTAGTGGTTCTCGAGAAGTTGAAATGTGAAAAGTTTACAGATGAACACACAGACAACAGGTGATCAGAAAAAATCATATCAACTTTCAGCTCAGGTGAGCTAATAACAAGAAAAGAAAGAAATTACTGGTCATGTTGCCATCTTTATTTAGTTGTACATACATGTACCACATAACAAAAATGATAGTCATCATACATGTACATAGTAAGCAAGGAATTAGTGAAGAATGATGATCAATTGATTGTTTCATTTATGTTTGATATCTGGAAATTCTAAGGTCAACTATTAAAGAAATAATGCTCAGCAACTGAGATAGTTTCCCTATTTTCTGATATACTGTAAATACTACTCTCAGTCTCAGGTAAATACAATATATTATTTATTTAGTAGGTTTTTTTTCTGATTTCTATTTTACTCTCTTTTTATTATCTTATTTATTTCTTGAAGAAAGATATAGGAATTTGCTGAAAAATGTTAAGATATAAATTTGAAATAAAAATCATTGTGAATTGGAAGATAACTGGGAATGAATGAATCATGAGACCCCTGTTCATTAATCTTTTCAACAAAGAAGTTAACACACAAGGTTCTGTACATGTTTACAACACATGTTTGACTACAAAAAAGCTGATGAAGTTTATATAAACCACATAAACAGTACAATTACGGATCATATAAAAAAATGTCTAAGTACAGAATGAGAAATCTTTAAGCACGAAGATCAATGAAGTTACAATGATATGTACAAACACCGAATGATCCACTGCAACACATCCATTTACACCAACACACAACTACTGAATAAATTACTGTCAACAAAAGATAATCCATTATAGTTTTTTTTTTGGCAACATTTTCTTTTTAATGGAAAAGGCATTGTATAGTATTTTTTTTCTTTTGCAAAATCAAATCAAATCAGTGTGACTATTCAAGTTAAAACAATGTTAAACATTACATCTGGAAAAAATTATATATGAAGTTTCCAGAATGCTAATATGCACCGTGTTTTGAAAAAAAAGTACAACGCATATCCAATACAGTAAATTAAAACACAGTATTCAGCTTTTAAATCTGTCATTAAAATACACTTTCATAATAATTACATTATTCATACACAAGACTTTATCACTTAAAATATATACTTTATTTGCAAATCTTTATAATCTTGCTAATCTAACATAATAAAATATAGCACCCTCTCACTTCAAACATTTTGGAAATTAACTTGGTATTTTGATATCATGAAGATTGCACACAAACATTTTGTACTGGGCTGCACATTTTTTTGCTCCAGCTACACAACTATAGTGATTGCAAAGAAAAAAAATGTTTAAAAAAAAAAAAAAGGTGACTTATTATGCATGCTGAAAATTATACAAGACAAATGTGGTCACCTTCGAGAGAATGTAATTAAAATGCATTTGAATAATGTAATGAATGATGGAGGAAAAAAAGAAGGCTGTGAATAAGCATCTATATAATGTTGTTGAACAACAAAAACTTTGTTTACAAGGAGATACATTGTAAGTAACACACCAAGATCTGATGTGAAATAAATAGTCTAGCAATATTTAAAACATTGAAATATCTATGAACCAGCACAGAATTGGAAACATATGTAATATATTTACAACCAATACTGGGGTCAAAGTATTTTGTCCTGCCAAATACTAGCATGCAAAATATATATATATATAACTTCTGCATTCCACTTGACTACATTTACAACCACAATACATTGGCTTGCTTTGGAATTGAGTAACTGGCGTGACTGGCTCTCATTGCACAACAGGACTTGGATGATAATGTGAAAATTCATGAATAATCAGAAGGTTCCCAATTTGTTCTTTACATTGTCTCTTCAAAAGCAGCCATCATTTCACTTTGTGCATTCATATCGATCTTGTGTGCCATCTGTAAAATATACATGTATGATTAATTGAAGTTTTTATATGAAATAATGTTAGATACTTCCTCAGATCTATTATCCATGCTATAAAAGTGAAATCATTGATATTGCGATCAAAGAAAAAATTTTAAATGAACATGAAGTGGACCTATGAACAATTTAATTAAGCAAACACATTGCCAACTTATTATGTACAGCACTGTTGAAATTTCAAAGCCAGGTTTTCTTTCACAGAAACAACATTGATACACACCGCTTCCCGTTTGCGCCTTTCCTGCTCCTTCTTTCGCTCCCTCTCCTTTGCAGCTGCCAATTTCTCGGCTTCTATTTGTTGTTTTCTCCGTTCCTGCTCTTGTTGAGCTCTTCTTGCCATTTCTAAAGCTTCCTCTTCTTCTCGCTCCCTAAAACATGGAAAAAAGGAAAAACACTCATGAAATGGTCAGCCATGCATTAAACTACTGCATCTTTTCTAAAGATATTTTTTAAGTTTATAAACTTTTTAAAATATTTCTCAAGGTAACTGCCGAGTAGGCATGGGTATTGCCAAAAATTTTGTATCGCTATATATCACGATTTTTTCCCACAATATCACAATAATATCATGATATTTTTAAAAGCAGTTTTTACAATGATTTTATATGAAAAAAGAAAAGTCATTATTTTTCTAAAAAATATTCTAGAAAAACAAAATTTTACTTTCTTGAAATTTTTATGTATATAAAATCAATTATGTTTGGACGGTTAGATGCCATTCTTTTCACTTTTTACAACATTTTTTTTTTATACTTTCTGTAATTGTAATTTGAAAGACTGAACAAATAAATGAATAATTTCTGAACCTTATAATATGTACCTAAAGACCGGTATTTAGGTCTCTGTATCACGATATGTATCACACAACAAAAAAATCGCGATATACCGGTATACCGATAAAATCGCACATCCCTACAGCCGAGTACTATTACTACTTAACATTGTGAACAAGTATAGAGTACAGAGTATGTATAGCAAGCAGAGAGCAACTATCAAGAACATAGATGATAGAACCTCACCTGAATTTTTCTCTTTCTTCTCTTTGCCTCTCTCTTTCCATGGTTTCTTTATAAATCTTTCTTTGTTCTTCTTGGATCTTAATAGCCTTTTCCTGATTAAAAGTAGAGTTTTAAATTTAATTTAAATTTTAAAAAATTATATAATTATTTATTAAGATACATGTACTTATATTATTGAATTATTTATTTATTCTAATATTTTCGTAAAACAAATACTCCTTATACCCTTTCTTCTTTTTCTTTGGCTTGCTTTCGGTAGAGTTCAAATGTCTGCATAGCATTGGACTTTTTCACAGAACTTGATCCACCACCAGCAGCTAGACTTGACCATGAGGCTGCATTCTTCATCTTTACACCATCCTGCTGTAACAGTGAAATGGAGTTTTTAGTAAATATCAGTGGTATCACTTTGTTCAACTTAATTATCATGTTCCAAGATTTATTTGTACAGTTTTACCGTGACGTTATAATCCATTTCCCAAAGTTCTGCATAGGCTGATATACATGTACCTATGGGAGTCCTTAACCTAGCTGCATACACAGGAATTATTTCTTAAACAAAAGTGTTGTTTATTGAAATCAGCCCCCAAATAAAAGTACCTTTTTGACTTGCTGGGTGAGACTTTTGCTTAGTTCAGGTTTCTTGTGCACATCATTCATCTGATGCTGACCCATCTGACTTGGTCCTCCAACTCCAAATGACACACCAACCCCACTGGCAGCTGTTTAGTAAACAGAAAACTGACATTAAAGATTTCAATCATACATGTACACCTTCAAGCAACATGTATAGCACAGATACATTTTTTCTTT